GGCGATTGCGTTGGCAACGGTACTGGATAGGCGAAAACGGGGCGGGGTGGGGGGGGGGAAGCGCATTCCAGCGAGGTTCGCAGATATTTCCGACGGCTTGTAGTTTCAACTATTCAAGTATATTTTGGTATACATAACAATAATACAGGAGCTAAGTAAAAATATGTGAGTGTATTTTACTTACTTTTATAAGTACAATAGTGCCTAACACTCGCGATTTGTATATACATATGTTACTGTAAAAGTTCGAACTACGGTTAATCTTAAGATTTAAGTGTAAGTCTTAGGATTTACCGACATGAGTTGGTAAATGTAAGTATTTCTGAAAATACGACGATTTTTTCGAGCTTTTACCATTCGAATTCAGTATATGCTAGGTTTTACCACTGTCACCTGGTAGATGTTGATTTTAGGAATAAAACAATGAGTAATTCTTAATTATTTACTTTAATGTAATATTAGACAAAACAGGTACATAGTATTATAAAGGTATCATATGATAGTAATAAGTACAAACTAATACCAACTTATTTTAAATTATTTTGAAAAAACACATAACGTATGTCTCTGAATATCTCAATCTCTATCATATCTATCTCACTGAATCAGTAGTTCTCTATTTGGAATTTAACAACGAAATACAAACATAATGCTTACATAAGCTTGTCTAACTTAATAATTATTTTTGGTTTTCAACATTTACCGTGCCATTAATGTAAATCCTAAGATTTACCAACGGAATGGTGGTAAGAGTTCGAATCGCAAACCTTTTGGGACATTTACCATTAGGAATTGGTAGATCTTAGGTTTTACTGGAATATCTTAGGATTTACTGCAGTTCGAGATTTTACAGTAACATATACACCATTCTTATAATGGTAGGGGAGCCCAAGAGGGGTTTCGGGATTTACTAAAGCGCGGCAGATTAATATATAGGGGGATACCTTGTACCCGGTTAAGTACCTCCACAAAATATGAGGCCCATATATTAGGCCGCACGTGAAGGGAGACAGGATCAGTTTAGTAAAAAAAATTGACCATCAGAAATTCCCGAGCGCGTCAGATTAAGGTAGGGTGAGTTAATTACATCCTAAAAGTGTATATTCCACTAATCTGACAATTTGAGGGTGACGGAAAAAAGGGAGGGCAACAAAGTTGTAAAAAAAAACGTCATCTCGACATTCTCGAGCGTAGCTAATTTTTTTTTTTTTGAAGGAAATAATTCAAGAATAATGAAAAATATATAATCTGACGATTTCCGCAAGCCGAAATAACAAAAATTGTCGATAAAGTTAAATGGTTAGCTGGTGAGCCTACATTTCCTAAACCGATCGGAATCTACTAAACGGCGTTCTAAATATTTCCCTCAAAATTACATTTCCTGTAATTTGAACCGATTCGGACCGATAGATTTTGAGAAATTTTGAAAAATCTTAAAAAAATAAGAAATATTTTTTTAAGTGGTTTCTTTATCGATCAACTTCAAAAACTAATCGCCTTTGAGCTTGAAAAACCACGTCGATCGCCACCAAGTGGTCAAGCGGTTGATTCGTTGAGAGATATCTAAGAAAGAAACCCAAAAGTGTTTTTCGAGATTACTCCGAAATTTGTGGTTCGATCAATTAAAATTGCAAAATCACTTATGAGAATGATAAAACTGGTCGAATGCCGCCAACCGCGTGAAAATTGCTTGATCCATTCAAAAGTATTGAGGTTTGAAAATTCCAAAAATAGTGTTCTATGAAACTTTATCAGACTTTCGGTGGGAGAGTCAAATGCATAGAAATGTTATTTCTTTGAACTCAGCGAGCTCAAAATATCAATTTTAAGCCCCAGGAATGGAATTAGCGGGAAGTTGAGGGATGGCCTTTAGGGAACCTTTCTATTTTTTTGTCAGATCAGGCGAATCCCTCAGATAATCGTCAGATTATGAGACAGTACGTTTAGAACATAAAGATGAACCAATATATCTAACTACGTTGAGTATTTCAAAATTGCGATTTTTTTGCAAATTAAGAAAATGGTGTGGGGTCCCATCGAAATGTCGATTAGTGAATGAGAGCTTTTTTTGGTGCACTTAACACTCCTTAGAAAATGACGCGCCGAAATTTTTTTTTTTAATTTTCAACACTTAAATACAACCACCCGCATCATGCAAACGATCAGAAACATACGTACATTATTAAAAATACGTAGGGCATAGATGCTATCAATATCTGACGGCTCGAGGATGTCCATGCAACAATTTTTTTACATATTTAACTATCTATAGCCGCTTCCCCCACCGATGAAAAGGAATTTATCATATAACATTTTTTCTTCTTTTTATCTAAGCTTTGCATCAATAGGTCTCTACGACGCTCGAGTAAATCCCCATTTAGATGTGCCCTCCATACACGAGATACTAAGTGCTAAAAGTTTGTAAAACATTACATGTCCATATTTAATACTAGCGTTTAATAAAAAAAAAATTCTTTACTCTACGACTATATTCTGTGCAACGCCCGACACGTGCTTGGCTGACTTGAATGATTGAAGTTTTGACGTCTCTACTTAACGACGCGGGAAAAGATTTTGCGTGTGCCCATAAGGTTCGCCCTTGATTCGTTCAGGCGGAAAATAACTTGCAGTTACATACATTATATTCACTAACATGAAACATTGTAGCGCATTTCTTTTTCAGATATATTTATTTGTATGCAATACTTTGTAAATTTTTGCATAATGATTACACAAAAGTACGATTGGAATGCGGCCTAGTTTCATAACTTTTTTTCAGACCTAAATTCTTAGCACAAACAATTGTATTTTTGATGTGTTTTCAAACAAATGCACGTTTACATTGTTCGAATATTATTAATTATTAATTATGTATGGAAAATCGTGGTCATGCTGTCATCAATACTGTCTCTTAAAAAAAAAAAAAAAAAAAAAAAAAAAAAAAAAAAAAAAAAAAAAAAAAAAAAAGAGGGGGGGGGGAAAAAAAAAAAAAAAAAAAATTTTTTAAAATAAAAGAAAAAAAAATAATACCTTTTTTGATTAAAGCCACGGCGAAATTATTACAAATTCCTGATTAAATGATAAATTGTTCGCTTTAAGCTTGCTCCAGATTCCGTAAATAGAAATCAAACAGTTCTATCTATAAAATCATAAAGAGTGTAATAATAATAAAAAATATACCTATACAAAATTTGGCTTGAATGTTATTTTTTAACTATATTAATCCGATATATTTTTACGCTTAATACATACAATATGCTATAGGTATTACGTCTGCCTTATAAAACAAAAAGCCCCTTTTATTATTATTTTTAATGAATACTGCAGGCATTATCAAAAAAATAATTTGATTTGGAGTAATAGAAAATAATTTACGTAGCGGCCTTTAAGTCATTGAAAATCTGTAACCATGACCTAGAGTTTTTGTTTTGTTTTGACCAAATGACTGCCTTATAGTTATAGTATTATAAAAACATATAGGTACTTACTTTTTCAGAAAAACATTGGCAGGAAATAGCTACGTCAATATGCGATTACCTTTTTATTTTTAAATGTATGTTTATGACGGCGCTTTGCGTTAGAAAATTTTTCAATGCTGAAAATTTAGCGTAGCCAACGTACCATTCTTAAGATATAATGTAGGAAACCTTTTCGCTACTCGACTTCAATGAAACAATAAAACAAAACGTTTAACTCTTAGTAAATTTTTCTTAATTGCAATATGCAGACTTTTTTGGAAATAAACACCTGACCGACCAGCACGCAACGCATTTTCTTCTTCCGTGGCCCTTTCATCTTTCACTACTTTCTTAAATACAAAATTTTCACTAACATTTCAAAACTCCCGTTCTCCAGTTCATTCACTAAAAATCTTAAACAACATCCGGTCAACCTGTCCTGTGCTGGAAAAGAAAATTTTCTTGTTGAACAAAAATAGTTTTAAATTATGTAGATATTATTGTAATGTACATTTAACATGTGAAAAGGACGAGACTGGCTGCCCACAACACTGGGAATCCTATTGTGGGCTAGTGCACTTACCTGTTATTGTGTATAATAAAGGTTTTCTTTTTCTTGTATAATTGTGATTAACAAGGCATCTCCAGTCCAACCCGCGTTCAGTCGCAACACAATACGTCATATATTACTTCCATTTTTCTAATAACCATGGAATGTAATTAGCCTTCCTTAGTTTTATTTTTTTTTATTTGTGTAATCCGCTAATTTTACTACAGCATTTATTTATACTAAATTTGTATAACTTTGTACACCGATAAAAACCTTCATATATAAAGAAGTAAGTAGGTAATAATTAGGTGGATTGATACATTTGAATCTATATTAAATGGTACAAAAAAAAAACAACAAAATAAATTGGTTGAGGAAGACTTAGGATAGTGAACTTTATGATACAATATGTTTTTCTCCTTCAGATGTCTACATTTAGCAGAAGTTTTCAAAATAACTTAAATTATCGAAGTACCAAAAATAAAAATCACAGCACGACTGCTGACTATGATTTACTTAGGCCATATTTGCAGGAGAGAACCGAATAGTCTCGACGAGTTGGTAATGGTAGAAGTCGGGGTCGATCGCCTACCCGTTGGTCTGACCAGGTATAGACAACTATGGGTATCAACATCCCTAATGGACTGGAAACATTCTGAGGATAGAACTGTGTGGAGGCGGCAAGTCAATGTATCGCAAGCACTACCTTCAGTAATGATGTTTGCGAAGAGAAAGAAGATCAATGTAGTTATCAGTGAATCGTGGAATATAGACCAGTCTAGATATAATACTTTGTCGCACTTTCTATTAACAATAGCGTGGTACATTACATTCAAGTAATTCGTTGATCGATTTTTGTCAATTTTGCAATCATTGCACGTTGTGATATCGTAAGTTGGTCAGTTCAAAAGCAAGGTTGGTCTCAAAAGATCTCTATAAAACCAGTGGCTGACGTAGAATAGAACTGATATTTTAAAATGTGATTAGTAAAAATGTATAGGTTTTTAGTGGTTTTGACGGTTGTCGGCGCAGTTAAAGATCCAGCAGCGAACCAACTTATAATGTTTAAGGAAAGGACTACGGTATGTTTTTACTTAACGCGTTGATTTTTATTAGATGTATGCTGTTTTAGAAGACGTTATTTCTTCCTGCCCTTCGATTCTGTAACTCACTTTTCGAACTCACACCGCGGTTTTCGCATCGGCGGTCGCTCTCAAATCAGTCGTGAAGCAGTCATTTTATGATTTGGCATTCTGTTAAACAATAAACTACAAGCTCCCACCTTTTCAGAATCGCAGGGCTGTATAATGAATTAGGAACACGTATTCTCTTGAAGTAGGTACTTTCTAAGGTATAAGTAGATTTTCTTTAAAACACTACAAGTGTAATTTTTTTAAAATTGAGGGACATAGTTCTTTTATTCTTTATATTTATGGGTTGCCTATATCTTGTTTCAGTATCAACAACAAATACACAGTATGGTTATATGTATATTATGTCTTATTTTTAAGAATTTATTTGGATTGATGCCGTAAAATTTGTTTATTGTGTTTCTTATATTATAAATTTATTTCTCAGGGTCCGATTGGTATTATGACAACCAGCGCTGGAGGACCTATAGAGCATAAAGACACAAACACACTAAATTCACGATTAATATTTAATGAGTTCTTTATGGATTCTGTAACACATACGGTCCGAGAACGTATACCGGAGAGAGTTGTACACGCGGTGGCTGGTGGAGCATTTGGTTACTTCGAAGTAACCCACGACATCACGCATATCTGCAAAGCCAAATTATTCAGTAAGGTGGGAAAGAAGACGCCTGTAGCTGCTAGGTTTTCTCCAGTAGTTGTAGAACGAGGTGGAAGCGACACATCAAGAGACGCCCGTGGCTTTGCAGTCAAATTTTATACAGAAGAAGGAAACTTCGATATTGTAGGATTTAATACTCCAATGTTCCTTTATAAAGACCCTGTCATCTTCCCTACCTTCGTGCATTCATTCAAGAAAAACCCAGCAAGTAACTTATTTGATGCGAACTCTTTTTGGGATTTCCTGACTCTTCAACCGGAGACATTCCATATGTTTCTTTTGGTTTTTGGAGATCGTGGCATTCCTGATGGCTATCATCATATGCCTGGGTTCGGTATACATACTTTCGAAGTAGTAAATGAACATGGTACAAAATATTTCGTTAGATTTCACTTCATACCTGACGCTGGCATTAAGAATTTACGTTCAGAGGAGGCAAAGAAAATAAGTGCCGAAGATGCTGACTATAATACTCGATTACTATACCGATCCATTGCAAATGGTGACTTCCCCACTTGGACAGTTAGTTTACAGATACTGAGTCTAGAAGACGTGAAAAATGCTAGAATTGATGTATTTGACGTTACAAAAGTGCTGCCTTTAGATGAATATCCCTTGACACCTGTGGGTAAAATGGTTCTAAACAAAAACGCCGTAAACTATTTCGCTGAAATAGAGCAGTTAGCATTTAGTCCAGGAAATCTAGTACCAGGTATTCTTGGTGGCCCTGATAAACTGTTTGAAGGTCGTCGTTTGGCGTACAGAGAAGCTCAGCACTATCGTTTGGGTGGCAATTTCAATAAAATTCCCGTTAATTGTCCGATACAGTCTAAAATTTTTGAGTATAACAGAGATGGAAGGCCACCATTAAAAGATAACGGAAAAGATATACCAAACTATTATCCGAATTCATTCAATGGTCCAGTTCCATACAAGGACCATAAAAGAGTTGAGTTGTTACATATCTTCGAGGAAGATCCTAACAATTTCGACCAAGCTAGAGAATTGTATACTAATGAAATGACAACAGAAGAAAGGAGACGTTTAGTTGAAAATATATTGTATAGATTAGCGCCGGCCGCGAAATTCCTGCAAGAGAGAGCTGTCAAGATATTTCACATAATTCACCCAGACCTTGGCAGTAAAATAGAGCAAGGGTTACTAGTTAATAGCACAAAACACTATTGGGATGATTATTAAAAAAGATTGTACATCAGACAGTTTTAAAATAGTGGGAAATTATTATTTAACGTATTTATTTAAGAAATTCTAAAACATGAGATAAATTGTAAAATGGTTGCAGTAGTTATCATAATGTTAGTTACTTTTAGAATTTTTATCTTACGTGAATATTAATGTAATAGAACTGCAATTGTATTGTAGCATAAAATGTCATTTCAAAACATTTTGTCTAAAAATATATTATTTTTGTTCAGCAATTATTTCTATTGTTATGATCATAATTTAGATGAACTAACTACCTAACTAATATTCATGACCGTGACTGTCTAAATTAACTAGTATTTTTTTGTTTGAGCAATAGATGGCGTTAGACGTGTGCAAAATCGCGATGGCATAACGACATCCCTCTCTTTTAATAATAAATATTAATTGAAATTGCGTTGTTTGTCATTCCGTGATTAGTTTTTGTTCAATGACTATTATATTATGTTTATAATCTACCCGTTCTTTAAAATCCAATTATTTTCTAATGTTTAAAAATGTGTACTTAAGTCTAAGTGTACAATTTCCTTTTTAATAGAACTAATTAATACATGTCTAGAACAGTTATATATATTTTAAGAATTGCACTGTCTTCAAACTCCATATAAAAGTACTAAAGTACTTGTATACATTGGTATTTTAATTAATATACAGGTATTTAAATTAAAAAAAAGTGTGTGTGTGTCAGCTACGACGCACGATTGGAGTTTACTCCTTACGAACGATAAAATGGCGATAATGTTCTGTGGCTGTCGACCATATTTTCATACTAAAGGTGGTAAGAATATATGTTTTATAATATAAATGTTTGTAGTAGTAATAAAACGTACCTACATCATCTATGCCCAAATAGGATTTTCTTTCTGTGACCAAAGTTACCTTTATAGTAAGAGAAGAATAAGAATGAACAATCTTTTTAGTTTTAATTTCACTGACCATTACTATTGACAAAACTCTATCGCACGCTAGACAATCTACTTTTATTTTTTACACCTGTCAACACTGACAATGTTGTAACGTGGCTGTCAAAACGTGAATTCAAAATAGAAAAGTCTGTGTAATGTATTCCATCTCATTCTTTTACACGTTCAATCCATTTGTCTCTTTCTACATAACGCCTCAACTTTTCGTGTTACATATAACGCCTCAACTTTTCGTGTTACACTTGATTTTACTCATAAAATTTCCGTGCCGGGCCTTATAACTCAAATCGTTTCTTAAGGAGTAAACTCCAAAAAACAAACTACATATCAATCACTACTTAACACAATTAATTAAAACAAATTCTTAATTTCCCTTACTTAGAATCGGAGGTCATTGTACTATATTTTTTTCTTCTCTTTAATAAACATAATATTTCGCAATATTATATTATAGTGTCGTTACGTTAAAGCTGGCGTTTCACTAGGAGCATCTTTTGCTCCAAGAATAAACAATAAAATATCGAAGTTGCTTGTCATAAAATAAAAAAGTCATACAATATTCTTAAAATGATATTAAACTAGATACTAGTAGTGACATGTTACATTAAACTTGTGTATTTTTAATTAATTATATTGCACTACAGTTTTTTGTATTACGTCATCATTGTTTCATTAAATAACACTCGTCTATTGTGCTTCAACCCTATATCAAATTTCTTTTATTTTCAATTAGGTGATTCTTTTGAAGCTTTCAATACCGGATACATGCTGTTTAGGCATCTAAGGCATCTTCCTCCTTTTCGGTATACGAAAAAACTATGGCGTTCAGCCGGAATTTGTACGCACGACTTCGGGATTGAAAATCTCAATGTATTAACACAGTATGTCTATAAAAATAAAAAAATTGTTTGAATATAAGATACAGATATCACTTATTCCACGTCATTAAATTTAATTCGGTAGACATCCCTACTCATCGGCAGAACACAGAATCGGAAGGAAAACAGAGAAAAAGCCGGCGTAAAAAAAGTGTCGGTACTCTTTTAAAATAGCAAATCATCAAACAACACTTATTTTAAAACAAATATCGCAAATAGCCTGTCTAGCACTAGTCCCGGGCCCTTTTATCAACTAGATAATCGTGAACTTAATAGTAAGCCTTTTTACACAGCTTTTCTTTAATACATATCTTAAATTTATTAAAAGGCAGAGATAAAAAAGCCTCTGGGATTTTATTAAAGAAGAGTATCCCTTTTCCCATAAAGAATTACTAGCTTTAGATAGTCTACTACGGGGAAATTGCAGCCTGCGTTTGTTCCGTGTATCAACATTGTGACTCACATATTGTGAAAAATATGCTATGTATATTGTTAGAACGTTTTTTATTTATTCGCACATTTTTATACTCATATTTCTTGATGTATTGTGAACTTTACTAAATATTTTAACCGTTAAGTCAATTAACTCTTTAAAAAAGGAGCTAAAGCAAATTAAGTAAATTTACAATGAAGGTGCCATTGGTTGTTTTTTATGTTTACATTTTTAAAGAATGTTCCCGGTATATCGCCGCCTTATGTGAGACTAGTGTAGTCGGTCCGGTTTTGCAAAGAAAGTATTCATTACCGTTGTATACAGTATAAGATGTTTTTACGCATATAATTATACTAATACTGAAATTTATCTAACAAAAATCCAAATCATTTATTCATATAGGTAATACAATGTACACTTATGAACGTCAAAAAAGAAATATATATTAAATGCTTCTCACTTTACATTTACTGCCAGTTTACAAATCAAGGGCGTAGAACGGAAGAGAAGAACTGGCAATAAACTATACACCATGTTCCACATGACATCTTTAATTAAAAGTTAATTGTTAAGTTAGATGATCAAGCCTCAGTAAGGTCTACATAAGAAAAGCACATGAACTTGGAGGAGAGTTGAAATAATAAAAATCTTGCAATGAAACGATATTTTAGTAAATCTTTAATAAGTATCTGTATTTTTTTAAAATAAATTTAATGAATAATAATATTATTTACGTGTTAATTAATTAATACTGACGTAACAATGTTCCTAAAATTGTCAGTTACGTATGCCGTAATTGAATTGCATTAAAAATGACGTACAGAATTGACTTATAAACTTACTATATTATGTACATAACTGCACTCCCTTGCTCCGTTAATCCGCCAAGAACGAGTTATAAAAGTAATGTGGAAGTGAGCAGACCCGCGCATGGAAATTCAAAGATTTAATATGCATCGCTTTATTTTACTTATTCCCGTAGTGTTAGCTTATCAAGATCCAACGAAACAGTTAGAAGACTTTAAAGATATTACTAAGGTAAGGTTTATCAATTTCATTAATTCAAACTAATTATATTTTAAATTGAAATTTTCTATGTATGTTTACAGTTTTAATGTATAGTCGATCGTAATTATAGTTTCAAATAGTCTGTGAATAACAAGAATTCTAACATTGTAGAAAATTGCATCTTAATCACTAATGCATAATTAGTAATTTTATGGATGTATAAAAAATTTATTTTTAATCTTAGTTGATAGTCACGAATACTGATCCAATCTCCGTTAGTGAAATATATACCTAGCCTTTTCGAAATCAAATTATCTTATTTATATGCCGAGGTATTATCTAATTAATACTTAATTAATGAAGAATATATAATATATTATATTAATGAAGTCGTTTAAAATAGGAGCTGGGATCTTAACAATAAATAGTTTTGAGTTAGAGTTATAATTTTATCAGTATTTTATATTCATATAGTACCTATCGTATTTTTTTTAATATTCTCGTAAATGGTTAGTTTTTATTAGTTTATATAAAGGTGTATTTTAATATGCATTAATATTTAAAGTCGTGCATTAGTTTCGCTTTGTCGTAATACTTGTTATTTGATTAAATGTGGGTCCACCCGTTTATGTTATGGAGAATTATATGCTTACAATAGTGATGTTTTAATAGAAGTGACGTCTTTAACGAATACACGACTTTTTATATAAATAAGCTAAAAGGTAGCAAAAGATTCGAAGGGACAGTCGAGAGTAATTCGCATTTGTTGTTAGAGAAGTTTTATTTAATTGTTTACTCGGTAATCTTAAGATACTTAAAGTAATTTAAATTACTTAGGTATATTTTCAAATACATTATCACTGTTATTTATGGTTTTCAGATACCTATAGGCTTTATGACAACAAGCAATGGCGCTATGGTTGAAACGAAACATGGATCAAGTACATTGAACACAAGACTAATACACAATGAATACTTCATGGATTCCCTAACTCATTTATCTCGGGAGCGGATACCAGAGCGTGTAGTACACGCAAACGGTGCCGCTGCCTTCGGCTTTTTCGAGGTAACCCATGACATCAGCCACATTTGCAAAGCACGATTATTCTCATCAGTTGGAAAGAAAACGCCTATAGCAATAAGATTTTCGACAATTGCCCCTGAACGGGGTGCAAGTAATACGGTAAGGGATGCCAGAGGCTTTGCAGTCAAGTTCTACACTGAAGATGGAAACTTTGATATCGTCGGCTTAAACCAGCCTACATTCGTCTTAAAGGATCCACTCTTTTTCACTACCTTTGCGCATACAATGAAACGCAACCCTGCAACTGACCTACCAGACGCGAACATGAAATGGGACTTTTTAACACTGCGTCCAGAATCATGGAATACTTTTATCAGAGTCTTCGGAGATAGGGGTATATTTGATGGCTATCGTTATATGCCTGGATTCAGTATTCATACCTACCAAGTAACGAATGAAGCTGGCACTCCTTATTTCGTCCGATTCCATTTTATTCCCAATGCGGGCGAGAAGACATTAACATCAGAACAGGCTGCGAAAATACAATCTATGGATCCAGATTACGAGAAACGAGATTTGTATAGAGCAATTTCAGCTGGTAATTTCCCATCTTGGTTGCTCGCCCTGCAAATATTATCTCTGGAAGATGTTAAAAATGCGGACATTGATGTTTTTGATATAACCAAAATTCTACCGGTAGAAATGTATCCATTACACCACGTTGGGCAGTTAGTTCTAGATAGAACTCCAGAAAACTTTTTCGCTGAGGTCGAACAGCTAGCATACAATCCAGCTAATTTAGTCCCTGGCATACAAGGTGGTGTCGACAAACTGTTTGAAGCGCGTCGTTTATCTTACAGAGATGCACTTTATTACCGTTTAGGTGCAAACTTCAATAACATTCGAGTTAATTGTCCATTTAATACTAAACCTCTGACATATAATCGCGATGGTCGACCGCCAGTGAAAGATAATCAAAAATCATACCCTAATTACCACCCAAACTCGTTTAATGGTGCAGTTGCATATGTGGACTTTAATTATTTTGAAGTATTACAAATTATTGAAAAAGAACCAAATAATACCGATCAAATAAGAGAGTTCTATTTATATGGAATGTCGGATGAGGAGAGAAATAGGTTGATTGAAAATATTCGGTCCAGTTTAGTATCAGCTGCAAGGTTTCTGCAAAAACGAGCAATTGCTTTATTTGAAAGCATTCATCCAGACTTCGGGTATAGAGTGGATCAAGCTCTAGCTTCGAACACAACGTTGCCTTTCTAAGTAATATTGGTTATATATAGTTAATCTTATTTTATTTCGGTGTCATTCTTATCTCGTGTACTGGCACGGATTTGTTCTTATCTTAATTCGCGGCAAAGAACGTTTAACATGATCATAACTACGAGAATATAGTAATTAAAACAATCCATTAGATTCTAGTAAATTATTTATGTTCCTCGAAACAAGAAAAAACATTCGTCATACATTATGCTTGATTTGTAATTGTTATTCGAGTCATTTTGTAATTGGAATAATTTTTTGTAATATCGTAGATTTTCCTTTAACAAATGTTATATTACACACATAAACAATATAATCTGTATATGTAACAGTAATGTTTATTAAAATCGAATAATATATTAGAGGTAAAGATATACAGAGTTTTCTGTTTATAAATCCAATTATTTTATCAGACCTTGCGATAAGAACTGAGTGGCTACAGCGAATTAAAAGCTTTCCCTGATTAATCGGACTAAAGAATAATTAATTGGTGTTTTATTTAGTATTTATCTGTGGATTCGAAGTTGTATATTTTAGCGGGGTACTGTGGTACTTATTTTTTAATAATGAAATTATTAATTATGGTATTAAAAAAATAAAGTTTTTTTTTAATTCAACATGTTTATTCATTATTAACGTCTTATTACGAACGTCTTATATAACGAACGGTCTTATATAACGAATTCAGAAACGTATATAAGCCTTATTTAATAAATATATTTATCTTTTATTTTTCAAAAAAGGAAATCCACGGTATTACTCACCCTGGCACCCGATCTTATGCTTTTTTATTACTTTGGTAAGCCTTTTCTTGCCTTAAAAAAATTAAATAAATCTTATAGATTTATTTAAAATTAAGGTTTGATTATTGTTTAATTTAGGTTAAGTGTGCAATTCTTAACCGTGTCGTTAGAACCGCAACTGTGAAGCAATAGATTTATTTTCTATTTCATTTTATTCATTTTCCAGCTCAGTTGTTTTTACTGGTGTTTTCTTGCGGAGGCCTTAGGGGGTGGCGCTTAACAACCCAAGTAAATTTAATAAATATTATTTCATTCATTTTGTTCCTTAATTACTTATTAAGCTTATATCATAACGGCCAATTAAAATAAAGTTAGTTAACTAATTCATTAAAATATAATTGAAAAATTAATTATGTGGTCCTTGAATATCGCGGCTCGAAACACTTGAAGCTGAAAAAGTGTAACAAAAAAACTATAAGATACTTAGAAATGTTTTTCTGACTATTTGTGCAAAACAAAACAGAATAGATAGATCTTGTGGTCTCAGTTTCCGCACTCTCACTGGGTCCGTTGTGGACACAAGATCGGCTATCCTTGCTATTCTTTCAATCGAGAACGACTTAGCTCATTCATTAGATTATTGTGCTTTAATTAAAGATTTTAGACATCGGAAAAGCCGCAAACATCAATTTTAAAATGTATCATCTTTGTATTTGTTAATTTTGTAAACCTTTCAATGTAAAATATTTTAAAACTCAAATTTGATTTATTTGTATATTACTTCAGCGCTCTCCTCAAAGACAAAGATAAAGGGCCTCGTAAAGACCTGCCGCCCGGAGCCTCGCAAAGGGTAAGGCCGCCTCTGCTGGTGCCGTTAGACTATAATGTGAAAATAAGTGGCATGCTAAAATTAAACGCCTTACTTTTTATTCTAGCAAAACATTTGCAAATCAACTTTGCTTGACCGTTCAATACTTCTTACGAATTTTTGTCACTAACGACATTCTTAATAAATTGTAGAATATTATATTATTACTTAAATTCTACTTCTATAGATCATTGTGTTTTCATTTGCTCCTTAAGGAGTTTTATAGTGTGACTATAAAATGTTTGTTAAAATACTTGTGTGGTTTTTACTCACACTTGCGGTCACACAGGAATCTGCTTGAATTTATTTCGCTATTTGAATTATTAACAAATAAAATAAATAAATAAGCTACAGTGTTCATAACATACAGTACTTTAATATAATACATTTCTTCATATGATATTTTCTAGTAGTGGCTGCTACCCCTTGAAAATCACTAACTGCACCCATGGTCGCCTGATGAAGACGCAGTAATATATATAATGCATGTTTTAGCAGACTATAAAGACTTGATAAAGCTTAATTTTGATAGCTATTCTACAAAATCCCAAAAAGTTTAGTCAGTCTAACAATGGTTTCGAAGGGGTGTTTATAGAAAGAGAAATTTCTTCCAATATGCGTTTGTGACTGGACGTAGTTAATTGCTTAGTGTTTATTAACTAATAAGTAGTCTAATAATCTGACTTGTGTAGCGACACCTACAATCTGCGCTTCGAAATCACTGCGATCATACATACGCGCCAACGATGTCATATATACAACTTCCCGACCTTAGCCACTGGGTCGTACTTCGCTAATTCCAGTGAGCTTCCGTCCTACCCTTCAGGCTATTAACCACCTCGTGATGCCCCAAGCCGGAACCAAGTCTTACAGGGACGCTCTTGCGCTAGTTGCAGGAAAAAGCCCGTTCCGGCCGAGCTATGCTCGGCAAAACAGCCCGAGCTTCGCTGCCAAGGCTTAACGCCAATAGCGAGACTGGGTCCGGCCAGTCAGTGGACAGACTGGTCGAGGACCCTCCCTTTAGGTTAGAGGAACAGTACAACTTCCTTCCTGCACACCTGTTACGGTGATCTCAATTGTCTACTAATACACCGCGTTATTAGCAAATGTATATTACTGATTGATATATGTTTGATATGGTTTAGGCCATATTAACCTTCTAGTCGTAGAGGAAACAAGACTCAGGAAAGAAGAAAGTTATCTAATACAAACTTCGACAGTGAATTCGATATCAGACTTTTATAAAGTTACTAAACATCTGCGAACAATTGTGTAAACCACTACACAGCGGTGTAACACGTCAATCAGAATGTTTTGGATAATATCTATTGAACATCACGTGTGAATATCGATAACATTGTATTTTTGGTTTAATTAAATGGAAAAAACATTACATCCTAACATTACAACCTTGCATAACGGAATTCTTTCATTCACTTATGCCGCGCATGCCTTTGAAAGGGATTCGAATTAGCGTACATTCTTAAAATTTGATAAAGTATAAATATATTTTAGTAGTATCTTTACATCGTCATTAAATACTTTAAACTTAATTTAAAGTCATGTTGATGAAACAGGGTCTGGTCTGAGAAAAACAAGCCAAGAAAGTCATTCTTTATGCCTACAATAATTTTTATTTGCTCATTGTTAGGTGAGAACTAGAATAACATTAATAAACAGTTCTAGTTGATATAATGATGATATTATACTTGTTATATTGTGAGTATCTTTCTATAGTATTTTTCTTATCGACAATGCTATGAGTAATTAAAGAAAGACATAATCATATATGTCCTACTATATTGAATTTTTGTGGTTTGTACACAAACATTATACCTATTACTAGATTCTGTACCCTACCTGTGGATAGCCCATAAGTAGCCCTTCGTAAAGGACGACTGCAGGTAGTTAAAAAATTTGAAATTTAATTGTCTGAAGTTTTGTTGTGTGAAATTAATAACGTGAAGTGAATTCTAGCAATTTAATAACTTTTTTTTTATGAATTCTTTAAAACCGATGTACAATAAGAATGTACTGTACATCCAAACAATAAGAAGTGGACGGCAATAAAGACAAGATTTCATTAATTTTTTAATTAAATTTAATAACACATGTAAAAACCTAATAACAAGTGTAACCTCCACTTGCCAAAACCACAGCCTGAATCCTTCTGGGCACGCTTTTCACGATTTTTTTGAAGCTACTTTTCTGCAATTGCTTTATAGCTCCCTAATGTTTTGTGGAGCAGGTTGCGCTGATCTCACTCGTCTCTTTAGAACATCTCAGACATTTTCAATTGGATTTAGGTCAGGACTTCCAGGTGGCCAATGTACGCTGTTCTTTCATGTACGCTTTTACGCCAGAACGGTGCGAGCAATGTTGTAAATAAAATGGAATCTATCCAGCAGTGACATCACCTGCAGGTTATGGATTCAAGCTGTGATTTTGGCAAGATGAGGTCACACTAGTTAGGTTATCAGGGTTTACGTACAAATAGGTGAATCTTTAGATCCAGAAGTTGAATTATTAATAAAAAATATAATTCTAATGTTACACATATCGAATCCAGCTTTCTAGAGAAAATGGAGCGTTTGCGGTGAATTGTGCAACGTACCGGAAGACACTTGTACGATCAGAAAAACAAATTCAATAAAAATATTAGCATTTAGAAAAGCTTGGAATTAGCACGAACGGAAGTTGAATATCTTTTTCATCACTTTGCTGTAAATTCTAGTACATTTTAACTCATCAATTGCCATTATAGAAAGTTTATATTTCTTGCAGGCTATTAAATTGCTAAACAATCGTCGCTTTGTCCTAAAACAAGCCCCCACAGGCTTGCAAGTAAGTTGCCGATCTTGTAGGTTAGTAACATCGGTTTAGATACGTATATTAAAGAGCAGGTAGTACACCAAGTTTCTTAAAACAAACACAAGCAGGCTGATAAGACTTGTCTGATGCAGTTCAGCTAAATACATCTTTGTAAAGTGCAAAGTAAATTAATGAAGCTAAATCTGATGAAATTAATGAAAATCGAATTTCAATATTCTAACATATTTAAATTATATTTTACTTAGTGGGGAAGAAAGCGAGACATATTTTTTTAAACACCATGCACATTGTACATATTTGGATTATAGAATGTTGTTATATATAGTATAGTATATACATACATATTTGTCGCACATTTTGTTTACAGCCTTGCGATTCTGTAACTCACTTTTCGAACTCACACAGCGGTTTTCACATCAGCGGTCGGCGGTCGCGCTCAAATCAGTCGTGAAGCAGTCATTTCGAAAAGTGAGTTACAGAATCGCAAGGCTGCCCAAAATTTACCTGTATTTAATTATATTTTTTAGTTAATTCATTTTCCATATCTTTGTTATTAA